GCTGCGATCAGACCGGAATCGCATCAAATAGTTAAATTATTTTTCGATTATTAATTAAGGACTGAATAATGAAGGAATTTTTTAATAGTAATAAGTTAGAATCCATTTTGAAAAAAACACCTATTTGCCGCTGTTCAAAACCACAACAATAAGTCACAATTAATTTTTTTAATAGCTATTTGCAACGATTCGAAACCGCAACAAATACGTGTTCTTACTATTTGCTGCCCTGTCAATTAATGCGGTTCAGGACCGCAACAAATAGCTAAAAATAACCGCATCAAATAGCTATATTTCTAGAGTGGATGTGAGTTTATTTTGATTCTTAGACTTTTCTGTCCTTGGTGATTGGATTATCTTCTACCCGATGTTGAATGGGCTTGATCTGTTAACTATGTATTGAAACTCATACTCGGTATATAAAAAACCAAAGGTGGGGCGTAATTGAAAACTTTAAATTGGCACATACACCTCTCTAGAGAGAAACCCTAGTGGCCGCCTCCCCTCTTTGTAGGGTTGAGATTTTCCGCCGCCCCTGGGGTTGGAGCGGCATATTATACTGATTCTAAGTGTTCTAACGCTTGGGATTGCAACTACGTCGAAGGAGTTAGCGTTGACGGATGAACGAAGTGCGGCTGAGAGGTTGTATCGAGACTGGATCATGAAGCCTTGGACAGCCATTCCGGCGGTGGAGGAGTTGGTATTCACCCATATTGCAAGAGTTCGTCCTCCTCCGGAACCACCTTCATACCAGGGAATGCTTTGTGGAAAGATTTTATTTCAGTATTATATTCTCTTTACTTGCAATTGTTTTCATTTTAGTTCGAATAGATTTGGTTTGAATGTTTGGATTTTTGGAGTTCTTTTGATAGGCAGAGTTTCGGTTCAATTCGTTTTAGGACTAAATTTGCCCGTTTCAGGTTTAACAAGTCATGTTGCTTTGTAGTCTACTCCTAGAGTTCATGATTGGATCTGAAGATTGTCTTGTATGCATTCTTGATATTAATATAGTGACCACTCTTTTATGATCAAAAAAATTGGCACATACAACAAATGTTCTCAAAGGAGCCATTAGGTGCCACCTAGACGGCCTAAGCGCAACCTAACGCCCCGCATGTAACACCGACCCCGAGCATATTTACTTTTAGTAAATTATGTAATAAACCTTGAAAGATGATTTATGAATTTGCGTAATTGTAAATTTTTATTATTTCTTTTACGTGAATAGTAAATTGCATGTGGGGCCCACAGCGGGAACGGGGACCGCCCGATAATTCCCGAACCACATATTATATTCATCTTGGCCTAGATAATATGTATATGGTGGTAGATATTTTAATTGGGCCATAAGAAAGGCATGGGGTTGACCGGTGGGTCAAACGGGGCCCAATTACCGGTATTGGTAATTTAACGGATAACAGCCCGAAATGAGTTTCAGAGACTCCTAAATTAATGTTGGGGAATGTACATCTATTCTAAAGGCCCATAATTATTAGGAACACGTGATATATTTTGCCCGGCCCGATAAAATAAAATACGACTAAAGTAGTCCGAAAAATACAACTTTCGGGGCCGATTATACATACCGGGACATAATGGGATGACCTCCCACATAAGTGGGGGCCACCCCACGTTTTTAAGGGTGCTGAATGACCAGAGTAATGGGAATGGGACATCCTAACATGGCTTGGGCGGACTTATGAAGGAGAGGGTAGCTGGGGGGACAAACCACACCCCTCCTTGTCTCATTCATGCACCATCCTCATAAGGTGAGGAGACTTGATGGACTCCTCCCTCATTCTACACCATAAGGAGGATAGAATAGATAGATAAGGTCCAGGGAAGAGCTCTCAACATTCTGGAGCTTGAGGAGCCAAGAAGAGGGAAGAATCCATAGAGGAAAAAGGCTAAGCCTTGAGGTAAGAACACATATGGTCCTTTTAACTAGTTTTATGGTGTATGATTTTTAAGAAATCATATGGTGGATTAAACATGATGTTCTACACGTTTAAAAGTGTAGAATATTGATATAAAGTGGTGATATTTAACTTAGAAGAGTTGGTGAATCGATAGGAGTCGAAATCGCCGGAAACCGCCACTTTAAGGGAGCTGCCCGTTTCTGCAGACTACGAAAGCCGCCCGGCTTTCGTGAAAGCCGCCCGGCTTTTGCCCAGCAGCTCAGTTTTACACCTTCAATCGGCCTAGAACGGGGATTGATCGAGGGGCTTAGCAAAGGCAACTATTTCAGCACTTCATAAGGTGAGGATGGCTGACTATATTGCTTATAATTAGTGAGTTAATTTCATGAGATTACCGAAGGTAATTAAATGTGTTTTTATGGATTATTAACGATTAATAATGCCTAAAAATGAAAAGATTAAATGTCTAGAGAAAAAGGAGCATGATATACAAATTTAGGAATAAATTGTGTATGTTCATGTGTTATGAGTATGTTGACTTGAAAGTGGAATTTGTTATGAAACATGTGTTGAAATATACTTTTTCTTCATATTAGAATATATGAGTGATTAAAAGTGATATTTTGGATATTGACATAAATGATATTTTCAAAGGAAAATCAGTTGGAATTGTCTATATGACTATGAGTTGAGAACTTGGTTCGTTGATATTAATTTGACTAGTATTAAGATGCTAGTTGGACATTAAAATGAAATGTTGTTAAGATTGATCCTAAGGTTGGATTGTGAAATATTATGCCTTAAGTAGTCTTAAGAGATGCTTTAAGGTAGGAAAGTATGAACTTTAAGTTATACTAGGGGTAGGCCTTAAGGGATACCCAAGATAGTGTGAATATTAAATTGATCCTAAGTATAGGATTGGCCTACGGGTGTGATCAGTGATTCTTGTAGATAGCCGGTTGAATTATGGAAATAGTAAGGACCATGGCCCTTCCCGACTCTAGAGAGCGGGGTTGGATAGCATGGACTTACATCGTGATCACGGGTTAGGGTGGAATCCGAATCGGAGACCTAACTAGGTTCCGGTAGCGGTAACACATAAGATAGGACCCCGAAGGGCCTTACCTTCCTACGGGATGATGGGTACGAGTCCAGGGGCGGGATGTTGGAGTCCGAACCGGGAGCCTCATGAGGTCTCGGACAGCGGTAGCAAGTCCCGTAGAAATAATAGGACCCAAGGGTTGGGTTGTGCAAACGATAAATGAAAAAGGATATATAAGAAGGGCCGTGTGCCGACAAATAAATAAATTTACTTATTATGAAGATAATAAGTGGGGAATATAAATTATTATTTATATTATGATATCACCCTATTTTGAGGGTCTTGGAAATTAAAACGTTGATTATACTTAGTATAGTTGCTATTGTACTTGTCAAATATTTCCAAGTATTGACCTCCCCTTCACGGGGGAGGCCACCTCACAGTTTCAGGTAGAACTTGAAGGTTGCTACCGGCGCCCGTTGCTTCGGGGATATTCAAAGGAGAAGACGTGGTTCGTGCTTCTTCTGTTTCCTGTTTTCAAAATAATGATAACAATGCTCATGGACATTATTTTTTTTGAACAATTACTTTGGGGGCTTGTATGCCTAGTTATGCCAAGTGTGGCTTGAACAATTGTATTAATGCTTCCGCTGTTTTAAATGAATGTTTTACATTATGTTTGTTTATGGATGTACTATGTGTGAATGATATTCATGACGCCTTGTATAGTATGGATGAGTTGGACTACGGTTGACTATTCGTACTGTACGGCGGGTTGTTGACGTGTCCGGCTAGGTCCGGGGCGTGACACCGCACACCTATTAGGCGTGACAAAAGGCGACCTAGTCCAAGAGTAAGCCTTAATTTAAAGGCACAATTTCTTGTTTATCGTGACAAAGGCCTGCAACTAAGATTTTATTCATAGACCTGCAACCAAGAGAACCTTCTAATAGGACGGAGGGAGTAGTAAAATACGGGAGATGTGCGAAAATAGGAGTATGGTTTCAAAATTTACCAAATAAGAGTATTTTCCAGCTTAGACATTAATACCCTTGCAGGGCTTTGGAACTTGAACCAGCTACCATTGTCGCCATCGTAGTTAGGAAACTCCGTGAATGCCAGATCTGACTTTGCTGACCGAGCTACTATCGTCGCTGATCGATTTGATACCGCCGCCACCAACTAAAATTTCCAAAAATTGATTTACCTCCACCCTGCCGCCTTCGCCACTTTTCGCCGTAGCTCTACCACTAGGCTGCCCCACCATCAACAGACTGACCTGCCACCAACATATTGATCCAATTGCTCAATGAAAATATGACGCAATTAATTAATGTTTAAACAAGTGCACCCAGTACTAAAAAACAAACCATCGTGTTAATTACTCAAAAAAAAACAACCATTCCAGCTCGCTGGATGAGAGGTTACCATGTCCTAGCGGAGGTCTTGGGTTCGAATCCCGCTAGGCACATTTAGGGAAGAGGAGAGAGGTCTAGCTCCCAATGATTCTTCCCACCTTCACGGAGTTGCACAACGGCTTAGAAGGGAGCGGATGAAAATTCAAGTCGTGAATTCGTGTGGTGGGAGGACCCTTCTGGATACAGATGAAAGGAAGCTCTGCATAGTAGGAGTACCAGTACCTACGAAGTCCTGCTGCATAGTAGTAGAAGTTCGTGTGGTGGGAGGACCATTCTGAGGGACGGAGCTTGGTGGTGCCCAGGCTAGGCCCTGGTCCACCCCAAATTTAAAAAATGCCAATATTTGTAGTGTAAAAAATTTAGTGTAAAATTTTTCCTAATAATATTCTTTGTACCGGTCCAGTCTGGCCTAGTACCCTGGCTTCGCCGCTGACCATTCTGCATAGTTGAAAGGAAATCCTACTAGATTCGTCATGTGGTACCAGTACTAACAAAGAAGGACTGTGATAATATTCGGATTTGATTGTGGCACTCAACAAGCTACCGGTGTGCGTCGAGGCTTTGGAGGGTACTCAAAAAGCTACCGGTCGATGGTGCTTCGTACTAGTGTTGTGTGACTTGTGTCCTTACTGGACTACAAGAATCTCAAGACAAACCCCTTTGTTAACGCACCTACGGCGCCATGTCCCTAATTAGGTGAGGTTAGCTTTGCATAGCTGACCCTTTATCGCACTTTCCGTTCGTTCCCATCGCTTCAACACACGGGTACTGTAATGGGTCCTGTGTGGAGGCGGATAGCGGTTCTGTTCCTGACGTGCACCGCCGTACTCCTCCCGCTGGCCGCTTCAGATCCGAGCGACGAGCTCTGTTTGACCCGTTTCAGCGCCGCCTTGGAAGACCCTCTCCACAATCTCCAAAACTGGACCAAATCCGCCTTCTCCCTCCCCTGCAACGGCTTCACCTCCAACCTCCATGGCGCCGTTTGTAACAATGGCCGCATCTATAAGCTCACCCTCTCCAGTTTCTCCCTCAAAGGCTCCATCTCTCCCTACCTCTCCAATTGCACCAATCTCCAGGCCTTGGACCTCTCCTCCAATTACCTCTCCGGCCCCATCCCGCCGGAGCTCGGGTTCCTCGTTAACCTCGCCGTCCTCAACCTCTCCGACAACCTCCTCTCCGCCCCGATCCCGCCGCAGCTCACCCTCTGCGCGTACCTCAACGTCATCGATCTCCACCACAACCTCCTCTCCGGGCCCCTCCCGCCCGAATTGGGCCTCCTGGCGAGGCTGTCAGCGTTCAATGTCTCGGAAAACAGGCTGTCCGGCCCAATCCCGGCGTCTCTGGCCCGATTCAATGCCAGCTCGTTCGAGAGGAATAAGGATCTTTACGGGTACCCTCTGCCGGCAAAGAGCAGTAACGGGCTGTCTGTAATTGTCATAGTTGGGATTGGATTGGGAAGCGGTATTTTGAGCTTAGTGTTGAGCTTCACCGCCGTCTGTGTGTGGCTGAGAGTGACGGAGCAGAGATTGGCTGCCGCGGAAGATGGAAACAAAAACAGTCAGCTAATGCCTGATTATTAACAAACAACAATTTGAGTAATCTGTATAAGATGAATATGGAGTATATTATTATCACACAATTGCTGTTTTCCTTAATTTCGCGCCTGTCATTTAATTAGAATTTTATTTCTTGATGATGAACAAATCAATAGAGAATGTACTACTCAATATACTCCCTCCGTCCCTAATCTTTCTCCCTTTTCGGCTGGGCACATTTATTAAGATAGTAAGATTTGTGTGATGGAGAGTTGTGCAGAGGAGAGAGAAATGTGTAAGAATGTGTAAGAATGGTTGTGAACCACAAATTTTTTACTAAAAGGGGGAAGAGGAGATAATTTTGGGACGGACGAAAAAGGAAAGTTTGAAGATAATTTAGGGACGGAGGGAGTAGCATTTCTTATCTTTTTTTTTTAATTGTTCGGTGTCTCTTTTACCCTATTTATTTAGGCAAATTATACCGACCGGTATAATCGGTATACGGACTTTTTATTTTTTTTCCTTTTGTTTTTAAAAAATGGTAATAATTTTTTTATTTTTGATCCGATTTTTATAAAATTTATATCAACATTTTTTATTTTTCATGATCTTTCAAATGAGACCAATATTGCTTATGTAATTTTAAGAAATTATCGAACTATTATATTAATGAGTATTGAATTATAAGGAAAATCGAACTAAATTTAATATAGAAAAATAATTGAAATCACAATTTATCATAAAATTATGTATATAAAAAATTTATTTTAATATGTATTTATACATGTGAGTTACATATTTTTATGTGTAAAGTTACATATTTTTACACGTAAAGTTACATACACACACACACACGCATACACACACACACATACACACACACACACACACACGAGTTGCATTTGGCCTGCCTGAACGCGAGTTATATATTTTTACACGTAAAGTTACATATTTTTACACGTAAAGTCACATATTTATACGCGCGAGTTACATATTTATACACACGAGTTGTATTTGACCTGTCTGAACGTGAGTTACATATTTTTACAGGTAAAGTTACATATTTTTACACGTAAAGTTACATATTTATACACGTGAGTTATATATTTATACACACGAGTTGTATTTGACCTGTCTGAACGCGAGTTACATATTTTTACACGTAAAGTTACATATTTTTACACGTAGAGTTACATATTTATACACACGCGTTGCATTTGGCCTGACTGGACGTGAGTTACATATTTCTACATGTAAAATTACATATTTTACATAGGTTAATATAATAGTTCGATAATATGTTAAAATTACATAGGCAATATTGGTGTCATTTGAAAGATCATGAAAAATAAAAAATGTTGATGTAAATTTTATAAAAATCGGATCAAAAATAAAAGTGTTATTACCATTTTTTAAAAAAAGAGAAGTAAAAAATAATAAAACCGTATGGCATACCGTATACCGATCGTACAGTATAACAACTGATTTATTTAACCTTCGCATGGATAAAAAAAATTATAAATGTAGATATTTTTGACAAAATTTGTCCCTGTGAACAACAAATGTGGAGTATCTTTAAACATGTCTTCGCATAGGAAAAAACATACTCCGTATATGCACAAGCACTATTTTTTTGATTGTGTAGAGACAATTAATTTCTTTGTACATACATTAGTTTCCGTGCAGGTCACATTAGTTGATGTTTTTTATTTATAAAAAAGCCTGATTAAGTTGCATAGAAATCAATGAATATATATAGACGCTAGGTTTTGTATACACAAAAAATGTTTGTGCACGTTATTTTTGTTTGTGCGTAGCCATGTTTAAGACAGATTTTGTCGAAAAGTGTCTCTATTTATACTCTTTTTTGTCTATGTAAGAATAAATAAATAAATAAATAAATAAATAAATAGGGTCTTTAGAGAATCAAACGTCATGGCTTCATCGTCTTCTACGACGCCATCAACATTCGGTTTCTCCTCAACCGATTAGTGTTCTTATTTCTTGATTCTATGAATTTTATCATGTTTGTGAGATTAGATTCTTACTTGGGACTGAATTTTTCATCAAATTGTTTTTCAACTTTGTTGTGATTCATATGAACTATTTCCTCCAACATCATAATTAAATAGCATTATGACTTCTAAATGAGACTACCGAGAGTACATCCTAATTAAATGGTAGTATGACTTTACTCATTTTTGTCTTAAATGTAGTTTCATCTCACTATCTTTTTAGATAAGTTTAATGTCGAAAAGCCAAATGCCCATCATGAAGGTGATTTATTCAAGCTAGAAATGAACTCTTCATCTCAAATTCTCTAAGTTAACTAGGATTGTACACATACTATCCCAACTATGGACACAATTGGAAACACAAATAAAGTTTTGAATAAACGTTATAGAAGCCACAAAATAATAATAACAATTATTATTATTTCATATTAATGATCCAAATATTGAAATAATAATAGTTGAAATAAGACTGATAAACAACCATTTAATTAATTGAAAAGAGTATCTAAAAAACTTTCATACCTAGACGCATAAAAATCCACTCATCTTCCTCCTCCCCGATCTTCATGCGATCTCGATCAGTTTGAGGATGCCAATCAAAACACACACATGAATATAAGCACTCCATGCATGACTAAAGGTGTTCCAATCCCCATTAACAAAAACATGAATAGACTCACCAATATATTTTGCTACTGTCAAAAAACTTAGCATTATGGTACAGGTTTGGACCCATAAATAGATAACATTGAACAACTCATCATCCTCAAATAGATAACAAGTTGATTAAACAGACATGAACTATTGCTCACAACTCCACCCATATCCACCTCACTGTAAATATGAAATAAAAATCTCATTATCCAATATGACAATATCAAAGATAGTTATTCCTTTTAAGGACCTAGCTCTCTCTCTCGAACAAGCGCTTCCCTTTTTAATTTATAAAATCATGTCGTTTTGGTTTCGGCACACCATGTGCATGGTGGACTGATCCCACAAGGCGATATGACTTTTAGAAAAATTAACTCCGAATTTCAAAAGTCCCTGAAAAACTAAAAGAAAAATACTAGGAGGTGCGCCTCGTCAAGAAGACTTCCAGACCATCTTTTTTCTGTTTCCAGCCACCCTGTCGCCAGAAAGTCCACCGGAAAAGTGATATTAGCGAATTCATTTTTAAAAAATAATCCAAATAGAGCCTAAAAATCCAAAGAGAACGATAGTTTGTTTATCTCCTTGACGAGACGCAACTCTCAATATTTTTCTTTTGATGTTTCGAAGACTTTTGAGAATTGGGGTTAATTTTTCCAACGACGTTAGACGCCATGCCCCTGCTGTGATAACGGAATTGAAACACATGTCCCAGTTTGTTAAAGAATGAAACATGCGCCCCAATATGAAAACGGCTCTAACCACATGTACCTTTTCTGTACTTTTCCCTACTTCTTATATTCTGTTTTAGACAACTTACATTTCAACTTGACTCAAGTTACATTTCTTTTTAATGTGAGTTACATCTCTTTACACGTGAGTAATCGGAACAAGAGAAAAATAAAAAGGAAGTACTGTACACGCATGTACCGTTCACGCGTATACCGTTCACGCGTTTTTTTAAATTGATTAAAACTACGTTGTTTTGGATGCAGAGTGTGATGCTCACCGTGGGATGATCCCACAGTATACGAACTGCCAAAATTAGTGTGACAGATGTAATACTTATTAAGTTATCAATTCTATTAAATAAAACTAAATTAGTGAATTTAATATATAAATAATATTAGAACAAGTAAATAGTATTACAAGTAGTATATACTAATAAGTACTCCGTAATAGATTAAAAATTAATTACTTCGTACTCCCTTCGTCTTCCTAAAATTGTCACATTTTTTCATTTTTGGATATCCCTCTATTATCGTCCCATACCATATTTAATAACATTTGTGTGGGTCTAATTCATTATTACTTTATTTCCACTTTATCAACCACATAATTATACTTTCTTATAAATCACACAACTTTCTTTCGTCTAAATATTAGGGGGACGGAGGTAGTATTACACAAGAGTTCTTTAACGGTTTCACACACACATTTTTTATTGAAACCGAAACCGAACCGTTAATAAAACATAGGAATTGAATCGTTAATGGATTATTAGCTTATTTTTATCTCAAACTATCATCAAATTCTCAAATCTAGCCTACACTTTCATTTTATCAAAAAAAGACTCAAACTTCATGTTTTTCAACAATTATGCTTTTCTTGTTTGTTTTTTCAAAATTACACATTTTTATCAATACCGATAAGATATAATCAATACAATTTTGTAAACTTAAAACTAAAAAGAAGTGAAAAATTATGAAATATAAATATAGTTTTCTTCTTAATTTTTACGAGTTCATCCATTGAAAGTGTAATTGTGAGAAAAGTTTAAGTTTGAGTCTTGTTTTAATAAAAGTGAAAGTATGAGATAGATTTGTGAATCTCATGATAGTTAAAGATATATTTAGCTAATAATCCACCGTTAATAAATAAATACGGAGTAGATATTGTTGAAATCGAACCGAATCATAAGAGTGCGTATACCGTGCAACCGGTATACGGTGAGCACCGTATACCAGTACAGATTTATATTTTTTTTTTCCTTTTGTTTTTAAAAAATGGTAATAACTTTTTTATTTTTGATCTGATTTTTATAAAATTTATATCAACATTTTTTATTTTTCATGATCTTTCAAATGAGACCAATATTGCCTATGTAATTTTAACATATTAACATTTGCGTGTAAAATATGTAATTTTACGTGTTAAAATATGTAACTCACGTTCAGTCAGGCCAAATGCAACTCGTGTGTATAAATATGTATCTCTACGTGTAACAATATGTAACTTTACGTAAAAAAATATGTAACCCGCGTTCAGACAGGTCAAATGCAACTCGTGTGTATAAATATGTAACTCGCGTGTATAAATATGTAACTTTACGTGTAAAAATATGTAACTTTACGTGTAAATATATGTAAGTCGCGTTCAAGCATGTCAAATGCAACTCGTGTTTATATATATGTAACTCGCTTTTAAAAAAATGTAACTTGCTTATAAAAAGATGTAACTTGCTTATAAAAAGATGTAACTCGCTCATAAAAAGATGTAACTCAATGTATTATCAAATGTAAATGAGACCACTGATCCACTCCCAAACAGATTCGATCTTCTATTTCAC